CTACATTTATAGCCCAGAACACTCTCTGCATATTCCAATATCTTGTTTGCTCTTTTAACAGCTACCAAACACCGCACAGATGGTTTTACTATATTATCACAGATCACTCCAAAGTCAGTTCTGATATTCCTGTCCTTGGGGACATACTACCCAGGCCAAACACATCCCTGGTGCAGCTCTGTTAGCCTAACACATTTGGCCCACTGACCACAAAGTGCATTGCCTCCAATTACCTTCTCTCTCTTCTCATATCTCAGTTTACCGACTGTACTTATCTTAGTCTCTTCCTTATCTAAAACACTGCAATCTTCCAGGTCCTCTAATGCAGTTCATTTGACCTGTTGTTCTCATCTAATATTATTGTCCCTTTCTGTGTTTTACTTTCTCTCTTCCTTTTCCTGAAGCACTCTCACAAGCACTGGGGTCTTAAAAAGTCATTGCTGTTTACAGAGTTTATTACTTTCTATCATTTCTTATGATTCTCCTTCAGCATGTCTTTCAAATAATTATCTCTGTGATTTACTATATCAGTCTCATAACCTCCTTCCTGTACTAATCAGTTCTGGATTAGCTAGTTGGTAGGGCCAGATTGCCCTGACAGACTTTTCCCCATCTCTGTGCCTCATCCAGGCATGCTGGGATCACACGGTCTCTGGCTTTCTACACGCACACTGCTCCTCGATAGGTCTTGCAGGGGAGGCTCGCCCCACCTGGCCAGCCAGCAGCCTTAACTGCATTATTTCAGTGAATGTTTCAAGCTCTAAGGAGCTGGCACCTCTGCAAAAACACCTCCTTCTGCCTCTATTTAGGTCGTGTAGCCATATGCCACTACCCATGCAAGGCTTTGACTGAAAGCCACCTTAGACAGCCCCTTTGCAGTACATACAGAACACTCAACTCTATCTGAGCTTCTAGAAAGTGCCACTGTACTAGTGAAAGAGCACACTGTTCACTAAAGTATCATGGGTGAGTGAAGAATTGCTTTAAACTATCTTCATATACATCAGCTGGGTCTTATAACAGAGGGGAGGGGTAAAGAAAACAGTGAAATCTCCTCTAATCTTTCCGGTTTAGGGCAGCAGCAAAGACCTGCCATAGCCTGTACTGTGGATTACGTAGCAAGAATGCTATTTTGGACCCCAAGCATCCACCTGGTTACCTGGAGTGTGGAAAGGATACATAGAGACATTTCTTCTGAAACAAAACAAATCCTAACTACTCATAAACTAACAAAAGCAACAACAAAAAACCCCACAAAGACCAAATGGTTGCAATTACCTCTACAGTGCAACTAAAAAACATGGACATGGGCAGAAATTCCCATAAAGATTTGCAAGAGCAAACATAGAGAACTATGGCTTACCAGATCCAAATACTTGATTGTGACCCTGCCTCAGGGGTACCTTCATGTAACCTCTATTAAAAGCAGAAGCTCATTTCAAAAATATATTTATTTTGAATATATATTCTTTCAGTCCAAAGAAAGAACGTAAGAAGGACAATATTGCAGCAGTATTAAAGACATGATACGTTTCTAGGGTAAGTAACGCTATAGTTTTGGAGAACGAACTAGGGATACCTTCTTGGAGTTTTTTACCCCTTCTTGTAATGTTTGTTGTGTAATTTTTACACAAATAGTTCTTTGCAAAAATGTCAACGAGACTCTTCATAGGCATTTTCAGACTATTACATAAGAAGATGGCACAGCTATTTCCTTCCCACAGATATTAAATGGTGTTCAAGGGAAAAAACAGTATTTCAACCTCTTGAAGTAAAAGATGAAGTTGACTTTACCTACTTACGCAGGGCAGTAAGGTACAGCGCTTTGCTGATGCATTTATGATTCTCAGGGATCTGACAGACATCCTCTGGGTAAATTTGTAGTTTTAAAATGCTACTGCCCCTAGCTTTCCATCCCCCCGCTCCAGCAGAGACTACCACTCCTGTAGCAGAAGACCTAGAAGACAATGGACTGTAGTTCCCTCTTTTGTAAGACAGCAAGGAGGGCAGGGCTCAGTTTTGTATTGCGGATGCCCCAGTTCTCAGCCTGGTACCTTAGCAAAACACAGGGGACTTTGACCTTGAGTTTCTGAGGCACAGGCATGTGTTCTCAGTTACTACCACCTTTCTAAGCAGAGTAGCCTCCGATTAAAAAAAAAACCCCAACCAAAAAAACCCATGAAACCACACACACAACACAAAATCCTCCAACTAATCAGCAAAGAGAACTTAGAAATTAAACTCCTAGTCTCTTACAGCTAGATCCAAGAGGGGTATTTTGGAGTGATGATTCTTAGAGTGTAAGATATCATACTAATTAAGACTCCCAAAGCATTCTTACCGGAGAGGGTGGTGAGGCGCTGGAACAGGTTGCCCAGAGAAGCTGTGGGTGCCCCATCCCTGGAAGTGTTCAAGGCCAGGCTGGATGTGGCTTTGAGCAACCTGGTCTAGTGGAAGGTGGCCCTGCCCATGGCAGGGGGGTTGGAACTAGATGGTCTTTAAGGTCCTTTCCAATCCAAACCATTCTATGATTCTATGATCTCTGAAGGAGAATATTTGGAAAAGTCTTCAGTGCTATTAATGTGAGCACTGAATAGGGCTGCTCGTGGGTGCTATTACCTGTGTAGTACATGAACTGAAGCTAATGATCTTCAGAGAAGAAAGTACAGTCAGTAACAATTCAAAGATTTTCTCATAATACCTTTTGCACACATAGATCTATTTCCTGCTATTAAAAAACGAATTAAAAACCCCACAAACAAGGCAAAAATATTTACTATCTGATATTGTCCTGTGAAGATGGACTTGCAGACCAAATCAGTCAGGTGTCCAGGGCAATAAAACTCTTAGCACTAATCCCTGGGGAATACTCCCAAGTACCAGATGAAAAAATTCTGAGCAAAGGGCTCTTTCACAGGGAATTATCAGAGAAAATAATCCTTAATGTTCCAGTATCCCTATATTCCCTTTAAGTAAAGTAGGCAGATTTGGCCTGAAAAGCATATGAAAATCATGCTTTCAGAAAATGTAATGTTAAGATTTGCACGGTAGTTGGTGTGTAGGCAAGTTAGACTGGTGTGACTTTGGGAGAAAAGGCTTTGGCTCTCATGTCATATCCCTTGAAGCAAAATCTGTGTGTTGTCCTAAACCTGTAATCTTAACTCTCTCAAATGGATTCTGAGGGGATCTGCTAAGTCCTTATCTAATTTCTCCTCCATTCAGCTACCGGTATAAGTGAACTGTGACAGCTGAGGAAACCTGAACACTACAGCTGTACCACAGCATGTGGGTCTTGCAGTGATGCCTCCTGGATTTCCTTCACAATAGCACAATTCTGGGCGGCCTACAGCTCCAGGCAGCAAAAAGACGCACAAGCAAACACACACAAGCTAACTCCATTACAGCTCCTCCTGAAAACAGAAGTGAAGTCAGTGTTTACCCTCCACTGGTGGCACAGCTGGAAAACAAAACCAATCCCCCACCCCACCCCCCCCAACTACATAAAAACCCAGGACCCCCACGCCAGCCCCAAACAAACCACATTCAGATTCAGTAGGGTATTAAAATGCCCAGTGAAAATGTGCAAGTGGTCTTAGTTGGAAACAGTCTTTCTTTAAATTCACACAAACCATCCTCCTCCCTTCTGTCAGTCAAATACGATGTTTTGACAATCTAAATGCTGGCTGTACTCATATATACATACACATGAAGTGTACATAGTCCTTGCTTCTATTTTTTTTAAGTTGCATTTTGCAGGAAGCCATTCTGGGCACTGGGAACAGACCACCATCAACTCTTCCAAAAGAACCACCTTACTGCAGGGGCCTCTCCAGTCTAAACAGTTAGGAATCCAATACACAACAATCTTGCAGAAATCAGCTGCCAGATTTATTATTCTACCTGAAAACCCCAAACAAACAAAAAAAAACCCCAAACAAACAAAAAAGTGGAATTAAAACAGACTTTAAATAAACCTCTTAGGTACATTTTAAAAAGGGTTAATCAGTTCAACGAAAGACTTCTATATCTTCTGCTGAGATCATGTAATCTTGGTCTGATTGCCTGTTTTGTTCAGTGAGTCACTACCGTTTACAGATATATATATATTTCTTCTTAAATATTACACAGTTGATGCATTTTTTTATCTTTCTCCC